ATTTACACTTAAACTCTAGTTTTGAAGAAACTTTAATTTATTACAGTACAAAACCACGTACACGTTTAAATATACAAAAGCAATACAAGTTGTCTCCCGACACGGAAACTGTTACAATAGATCATTTCAGTTCTATGCGAGATCTCGCGTTATGCGTGAAATCGAACGTAAAAACTACAAACATCGCGTGGGATTCGAAAAACGCGAAACATTATTTTTGGGATATTTTCATGCTTAATAATGCACTGTATACATTTGATGGTGGCCAATTTCGATGAAGTAAGAGTATTCAAACGCAATATTCCCCTGTCAAAGATCGGCCTTTCAATGTCAGCTACGAAATAAAGAAATTCGAGTTCAAATTCAAATCGTTCGATTTTTGAGGCAGACGTTCGGCGCGCGTCTTTCACGCAACTCGCAGGATCTCGCAGTTCAACGGAAAATCACATATTAGATACGCCAAAATGTATGTCTGGTAAGCGTGCGCGAAATTTGATGACTTTGTTTGATTTGAGCCTTTCCCTCACAGAGATATGTACAATTTTAAATACACCTAGATTAGTAAATTACCATAATTGTAATTGACGGGTCTGTACATTGAACTTCTGACTTAAATGTGGTGTCGTTATTATGTTTATGGGAGAAAAAACGTTATATAAGCTATTCGTTGATTAAAAACATACTAGGTTCTTGTTCCATTGTGAAATTATGTATGTATGTAAGTATAAACATAGAAATACGTCATCTAAAGAAGCATGCACACTTAAAATAAATCACACGAAATCAATGTATTAGATATACAGAATACAATATAAATTGATAATTGTTCTTACTATATAATAATGTTAAATAAAGGGTTTAATTCACGCTGCTACGAACGTACATAGACTGAGGTAAATGTAATAATGTAATAGACAATAACACATAATATTTTCATATGTATATACGGTCACGATGATTCAACCCTATACTTGCACAACATTGTTAACATTATAATAATACATGTTGCGTAAATGCGATCTTCATATATTTGCAGCGTACGTGTGACCGAGAATATACGAGACAGTTAGCGATATGCTATGCGTTAAAGACGAGAGAATCACATGGACCACTGACAGTACAGCGTCATGGACGTTTGTCTGATCTGGAAGAAAGGGTATCTGGTGTATAAATGAGCTAGGTTACAGCCATCAACTAATTGTAATTGCGTTGTCATCTCGCGGGACTTCAAATGTGATCTTCATTGCACATCGTATTAGTTACATAATTTTATCTTATATATCCTCGATGTAACATTCATACGCACAAAAGTGACAAAAACAGTGTTAGTGATAAACATATACAAGCGATATTCATATATGATTATATATTTTCAAAATACATGTGATATACTAAAAAATACGATATGCATTCAATATGTATTATGAGTATACAAATCATATACATGATCATGCTATATATATGTGTTTATACACGCGATATAGATATGTTTATACATACGATATACATATGTTTATACATGCGATATACCTATGTTTATACATGCGATATAGATATGTTTATACATGCGATATAGATATGTTTATACATGCGATATACATATGTTTATACATGCGATATACATATGTTTATACATGCGATATACCTATGTTTATACATGCGATATACATTTGTATATACATGCGGTATACACATGTTTATGCATGTGATATACATATGTTTATACATGCGATATACATTTGTATATAAATGCGATATACATATGTTTATACGTGCGATTTACATATGTTTATACATGCGATATACATTTGTATATACATGCGATATAGATATGTTTATACATGCGATATACATTTGTATATACATGCGATATACATATGTTTATACGTGCGATTTACATATGTTTATACATGCGATATACATTTGTATATACATGCGATATAGATATGTTTATACATGCGATATAGATATGTTTATACATGCGATATACATATGTTTATACATGCGGTATACACATGTTTATGCATGTGATATACATATGTTTATACATGCGATATACATTTGTATATAAATGCGATATACATATGTTTATACATGCGATATACATACGTTTATACATGCGGTATACATATGTTTATGCATGTGATATACATATGTTTATACATGCGATAGACATTTGTATATACATGCGATATAGATATGTTTATACATGCGATATAGATATGTTTATACATGCGATATACATATGTTTATGCATGTGATATACATATGTTTATACATGCGATATACATATGTTTATACATGCGATATACATATATTTATACATGCGATATGTGCATGTTCTACATGCGATATACATGTTTTTAGTTGTTTTTAGTTGAGATATACATATGTTTATAACTGCAATACACGCATGTATATACATAAAACATATCCAATGATATGCATATAAAGATAAAAACATGATAATGTTACGATATAATATAATTATAAAATACAGAGAAGAATTGAAACTGTATAAACAAAATATTCACACACACACATACATACAGTAATTACCTAAGTAATTACAAAAGTAATTTGTATTATATATTTTATAAATTTTTGTTTATATTCAGTTACGACATACAAACAAATATAATGGTTTGTATGGCAATAAAGCCAGATCTTTGTGGAAAAGTTAATAAAATGTGGTTCGTTGCGTTTTCAACTAATGCTGTTATGAAAATGGAAAAGTAGGACAAGTATTCTGTGTAAAAGATCAACACTAATTATCTTTTAAAACAAACCAAAGGTAAATATTGATAACAGTAGATGTTGATAACTTACAAATATATACGTGAATCAAAATAATCAATAAGAAGGGATAACATAGTCCAAAATTCGTAATATTAAAATGGTGCCAATCAATATATAGTGTATATATTAAAACAAGATAGCACGTGAATTTACAAATGATCATATACTGAAACAGACAATACATCAAGTGATTTTGCTACTAGTTATCAAACACAATATTATAAATCTGTCACCCAACGATACTAGTACGTACAATAATATTGATGTATGTATTTTGTGTGGTTAAAATTGTTAAAAATTACCGCATGTTAATAGGAAACATGTCGGATGTGTTTATTTGTAATTGAATAGGTGAATTTAGTAATAAAAAAATAAAAACTCACCCACGAAGAAAGGGAGGAATAGTTCACACATCTTCATGACAACCTCCTCCAAAAAAAAACCCCACAACATAAGGTGGGATACATTATTCTCAAATAACCGTCAGGTTCTCGATGTTAGAGAGAGAGTGGCGAGATTTGTTTGCACCCCCCTCCCCCACATACACACACACACATACATACACAACCTGACATATGCAACGACGGGAACAAAGAGGGAAAAGAAGTATCGTTGTTTTCTCTCTCTCAGGAAGATCTCTATGGTCATTTACGTTCTCAACCTCTAGTTGAAAAGTTTCACACTGTATGCCTATTACCTTCCAAAAAAATAAAATGGTAAACTATCAAAACATTAAGACGCACACGCAGTTTCCATAATGTAAGAATATGAAAGTTGTATCTGTAATGTGTTGACACGTTGCCGCGGCAACGACCCACGCAGATTATAACTCGGTAACTGCTTAGATATCAAAGTTTTTGCAGAGACTCACTACCACCACAAACGCCTGTCATCGTCACATCGATCGACGGGGTTCATTGGCGAACCCAATGGACATTGGTAAGCTTCGGCAAATTCTGTCATATGCATCAGTGGCACCAAAACCCTGAGCAAATACAAATTTTAAAAAAATATAACTATTATCACCAACTTCTAACTTATGAATAATTATTCGTTGAAGTGTCATTCAATATAAAAGTATACCTGAGTTTTTCGGGTGCGTGTTCGTCTGTTAAAATGTGGTTTTTCAAAGAATGAGGCCGCCTGACGATACACCAAGTCTGCAAAACAAATAAAAATAATGCCATATCAAAGTGTTTATAACGTAATCATATCAGTGTGCATCAACTCGTGAACGAACGGAAGAAGATTGTTTTTATAAAGACAAACCCTCCATGCACATTTACAACAATATCTTTAAAGTAAAATTTCCGCGTGAAAAGAACCATAAGTATTAATGTAGCCTACAAAAGCTGTTAGTTAACTAGAAAAACTGTTGTTAAGGTTATCTAACAAACCTTTGAGTAAGCGAGGAAAATATTGCAAATATAATGTCACACACCTGGGAGTAAGCGAGGAAAAATGTCTGCTCCTGTGTAAGATTCAGACCTGCCAATGGTAGCTCAGTTCCTTCACGGCTTTCCATTTGCTTGTAAGCCTGTCAAATACAGGTTTCACATAACAAATTGTATTTTTTGTCAAGAAAGATCAATCGTCGATTTTGTTCGCGCCGTGTGCAGCCATCAGCGCATGAAATGGAATGGGCAGATAAGACTTCCCACTCACGTGTTTTGTTTTGTGTTTCAAGTTTAATGTGTTTGCTATAGGTTTTTGTTATCGCATATTTTTCCGACGATTTTTTTAGTTGGACCTCTCACGTTATTTGTTTTAATTTCTTGCGATCAAATGTCCGAACTACTTAACTTTATTATTATGAATATTATTATATTTCCTAGATTCTCGGTTACCTTTTGTTGGTACCTTTTATTATTGCTGTATTTAATGCACCTGTTATTATCTAATTTCCTCAAATAACTACGAGGAGCGTTCAATAAGTAATGTCCCTGACCCATTTCCCATAGCAAGAGATTAATGAAACTTGGCACAGTTATTAGTCTTTCTCTACATAGAAACCACCCAGAGTTATGCATTTTTCCCATCGTTTGATGCAGCTCTGGGCACCGTTTTGTAGAACACCCCAGGTTGGTTTTCCAACCACGTCGTAACTTCAGAAATCAAGGCTGCATCATCTGGGAAACGCTTTCCATTCAAAAACAACTTCATGACACAATTTCATCTAGATCAAACAACAGGAAATGGGTCAGGGGGATTACTTATAGAAAGCCCCTCGTAGAATGTTTGCTATATCAACAACTTCATAAATGTTTCTGAATTCTGTATCAAATTTATTTTTCATTTGTAGTATGATTCAATCTATTGTATTTTGAACAGTTTTGAACAGAAACGAACTTCAAAACCTTGTCTAATTCTAATTGTCTAATTAAGCTTATTTTGTGACAATACCAAATATAAAATATTCTGAAAACATTGTTTCTCTCTGCTTAGGTCCCGGGAGAGTGGTATGCGCCGTTGTTTTATCCCCCACCCCTCCCCCAAATATCAATTATTGAGCCCAGGAAGTAAAGTTTTTAACTCGCCGGCAAGCACTCTCATCTAAAACTTAGGATACATATTCGTCCCGTTTTGATGAAATTATTGCTTGAGTAATTGTGATTGCAGAATAGTCAAGGCTGAAAATATCGGTCACTGCTGTCGGAGCGCCACCAACGTTGTTTGTCTGCTTTTGTATTTGATTGAACGCATTCGTTAGGATATAGCGTTATAACACAAAAATGTATGGATTGTTCTCTTTTGCAAAAAAAAAAACTTCAATCTTCTCAATTCCAACCTTCTAATCTTGCTCGACCTGTATTTGTCTATTTCTTACAACGCATGCGTGAAACATGCAATTATAACTGCGCTGATGATATTCTAATTAGATTTAGGAAAGGCTTGTTATGAGACAGGCTTACAAAATATGACTGCGTTAATCCTCCTATGTCCGCCATGTTTTCACCCATTGTCAGCAAACCATTCACCTAAAAAATAAAAACATTCACATACAATTTCCTTTCGGATCACGTGATTGTAACGTGTTTACAAAATCAACCGAATGAACTAACATATATAATATGGTATGCCTATATAATTTCGTGCCCTAGGCATCAACAAAGTGGCGGCGCATTTGATTAAATTATTAACTGTCGAATTACAAAGTTTGTTTCAAAACAATACTTGAGATGACATACACACTACATGAAACAAATAAAGAAGTAGAATTACCCGAGTACCCTCCATTACATACTGTGAATAGAGGTCAACGAGACATTGAGATCTTCTCTCGAACTTATCCCACGATTCATCAGTCCACCAGTTATTAATGTTACCGTCTTTGTCGAACTGTGCACCTTTTGACAAAGTGTATTGTAATAAGTATCAAAGTTAGGACGTTATATATATATATATATTACTTTGAGTATCTTAGTTTGTTGTGTATTATGGTGAATACGGATTACGCCGTTATATAAGCGCATTAATGTGAGTACAACTGGAAAGTCTGAATTTAGATTATAATCTTACCCCAGTTGTCAAATGCATGTGTTAGTTCGTGTCCAATGACTGTGCCAACTCCTGCAAAATTGACGTACCTAGAAGAACAAACATATTAGTTCACTGGTTAACAATGCGACATGTGTTAATGATCGCATGTTCATCATCATATTGGTGTCAATTATATCGCATTTGATCACTCATTACCTTGTTGCGTCAAAAAGTAGTCTACAGTTTACTATTCTATAACATTTATGTTTTGTTTTGCATTTGTTTGTTTTTTCTTTGAAACAGTGCATAGCGACAGTAACGCGCAAATAGGCGGAGTAATTATTTTAGATTTTATTCTTGGATATTGGATTTTGGTACATGTATGCTTTGAGATTAGTGGCGGATATCATTAGTTTTTACTTCAAATCTGTGCATACTAATTAGTTAATTTACATAATAGTCAATTTCTGTAATATGACCATTTGTTGGGATTGAAATCCGTGATAATACTAATCTCATTATATAATTATACAGGTATATTTTCTATTTATGTAATAATATTTGGAATATGGTAATACGATAATCTTTAGAGCAGTACTCAATAATTTCCAAATTTGCATAAATAATTTGTATTTCAAAGTGGTTGTTAGATGACATAATTATTTGTTGCGAAAATGTATGCACAATAATTTGCATAATTAAAAATGCGAACGCTGTTGAACTGGTGAACTAAAGTATAAAACTGATCTCATAGATTATCATGCACACATTTTTTATTTTATTTTCAATAATTGTAAGATGGCAAATGATTGTAGAGCTTCAAGTTTAAATTTTAAAACGGCCTATAAATATATTTCCTGCTTTCATGAAATACGTTAAAAAACCATAGAACGATTT